AGAGTGCGGATTACGATAAGTCCCGTTTTGATGCAACAAAGGCGAAAGTTAATAATTTTGCAATTGGCGATTTTGTGTTGTTAGAGAACGAAGAGCGAAATCAGACAAAATTAGATTCGAAATTCAGAGGACCATTTAAAGTGGTGGAAGTTTTGGAAGGTGATCGTTACACACTGAAATCTTTGAATTGTAAACGTACGTACAAATTTGCTCACGATAGGTTAAGGAAAATGCCAGCAAGTCAAGTACCAGTCGAGATTGATGTATTGGAGGATCATGTTGATGATGTTGAAGTATAGAAGGTTAGAGAAACTCGAGTGAATGACTCTATCGTCCGTAATGTATTCGACCGTACCAGTAGTTGTTTAGTAGTCGTAGCCCGATAGAAATCGGTATCTCTTGAGGTAACTCAAGTAGTCCGTGGGTGCGCGGTGTGCTTTCAACTCTGGCGGAGGTCGTGGTCTGTAGAGACCGTAGCGTGTAACCGCAGAGGTGGTGTACACGGGTGATCCATTCGATGGGTATGCGTACTGAGATGAGTGAGAGAGCAATGCGATTGCTGGTCGGCTAGAGAGCCGTGGAGTTGGAGGCCTTTACTCGGAGATTTCTGTAAATCTGGTTGTAACTTATAGTTGTACTTGTTATGACGAAGGTGGTACTTGACTGTGGTATACTATAGGTAGTGTGTGTATAGTGATTTTGTAGTAGACATTTATGATTGAGATTTTGTAGAGATCTCGAAATAAACTAAGTGTAGAGCATAGAGTTTGTTTTATTACCCTATTGCGTAGGGTTTCACTATATGAACCATGGTGTACTGTTGTGGCTTTTCCTGTATTCCAGGTGGTCCAACACACGAGGACGTGTGATAGCAGGATGGCCGTGTCGGCAATATCAGGAAACAGCTTTGGGACGCCAGCGCCATCTAGTGGCGTTCGATGGAGTTAGTGTTGGAATGCACCGGGGTGGGGGATTGCCAGTGGACCGGGGCAGCGGCAGCGGCCGCTAGCGGAGCACTTTTTGGTTGGAGTTCACCCCGTGCGGACGACACTAAAACTATCACGCGTTCCATCTGCTGTGTAATTTCTATTTGATTGTACCTACATTAAAACGATTGCAAAAACGAAGCCTTGTGTAATTCTCGTGCTAACACTGTCCACGGAGGCCCACAATGAGCGATACCGAACCACTTCCCCCGTCATATATTTCAAATTATTATATCGTCGAAAGTTTTTAATTTTGTGAGAAAAGAAAAAATACGTGTCTACAGTTTGAAATTAATGTACCAGACGAACATTAAAATAAAATTTAGGAAACTACCCTAAATATTGGGGGCACCCAATTATGATAAAACTTCAAGTGTGGGAGAGCCATGCTTCGGCACGTGAGTTACCGGAGGCCCAATTACCCCTCTCTAGTCCCCGTCTCCCGAATCCCTGAATCCTCCATAATCCTCAAATTCCCAAAAGGCCGGTATTGCACTTGTAATACCTTGGTGTTTCGAGTGTCCATGGGCGGCACCGATTGCTTACCATCAGGTGATCCGTCTGCTCGTTTACCGGCTTATACTATAGGTATAAAAAAAACTACATGCTACTGGTGAGTTTCAATATTCTATACCATATGATTGGTATTCATACATTTTAACTATATGGAGCTTGTAAGAAAAGTACTTATACCAAATCTTCTGTCTTTAAGATATTTGAGAGAGGTCTTTACAGCTGGCCAAAGGTTTTTTTGGAGAACTTTTTGTTGTGTTTAGTTGTTCTGTCTCTGCTTGTCATCTGAAGATGCTGCAGTTTTATTTTGGGTTAGTTTTCTTACTATTTTATATCAACGTAGGTACTTTGAGTTCTCATATATCTCTACTAGCTATCTTGTATACTGGTCATAAGTCAATCTATAGCTTCTATAACATCTTGTCAGTGATACTGTTGTAAGCCTTACTTTTGACATAACCTTTTCACATTGTCACATAAAATATTGACAGAACTGTAACGATCACTAGTCAACCGTTTATGTCAACACGAACACTAACTACAGACTCCCTTCCTTGTTATACTCCGTTCAAAAGAAAGAGAGAACCGAGTTGTCAAATTGATTTTAACACGTGAAGAGCGATGTCACCCGGGGACGGCTTTGAGTCAAAATTCGGCATTTTCCTCAAACCGCATTATCACATATATGGTAATAGGGCCGGGTGCGCGCGCGCCGACATCTGTGCAAACACACGCACACTGATATACAAAACTGGAAACTGTATCAAATGTTCAAAAAAAGAACATAGATTTTGTCATTTTGAGGCTGTTTTAACTTACTGAAGCAAAGTTCAATCTCAAAAAAGTATCGAATCATGGAAAAAGTAATGTTTCTCTTAGTATTAATCATCTTCTAAAGTTATCAAACATGTATTGTCTTATCCTTCCCATACTAGTCCAATCGACTTCCTTCTAAGTATTTTGTATAATTTTTTTTAATTGTAACCTTTGACCCTAACCTCACTGTACGGATGGAAACAATAAAACACAGTAGATATCAGAAACATTAAGTTTAAGCAATCTAATCTTGGAACAGGCACGGTGTACTTGTAGTCAATTTCAATGGGTGTAATGGCTACAAGATTATTTAAATACAGTCTAACATTAGAGAAAACACACCTCCATTTAAGTTCTAAGTTTTATTTGGATCTTGGTTTTTTAAAACTGCGACTAGTTTTCCTCAAAAGTTTTAGTGACTACTAGTCATCTGGGTTTAGTCGGCAAACGGATTAATTAATGACAATCAGCGCCGACCATAAGTACCCGAAACATTGGTATAAATAAAGTACATAAAGTTACAAGGGCGTTGTAAATCCATATAAAGAGTATCTTCTACAAAGTGACTAAAAAGACCTATATTGATAGAAGATTAATTCCAACTGTTGACGATGAATTTGTTATTAACAAATACCTACCACAAAACAATGTCACCACTCGACACCGGCAGTATAGTCGACAACATTGTATTGGTGAATCAGTTGCCATTTATGAAAGAAAAAACACAAAACCAGTCTTATGTTTAAAAATCATTATTGCGACCATTAGATAATAACAACACATAGGTAGGTACGATTAAATCGGTGATTCTCCATTTAAAAAACATCAGTTATTCAGTTAATAATAAATGATAAAGTAAACTAAGTTTAAAAAACCGGCTACTAATCTGTTTGGGAAGTCGGTAATTAATATACTTGAATCTTCTATCAAGTGTGACACTTTTCTGAAAACCGCATTTTAAGTTTTAAGTATTCGAAACGAGTGCGTGTTCGGTGCTCTGATTGGCCGGCGCCAATAAACCAACCAATCAAAGCGCCGAACGAGGTCTCGTTACGAATAATTTAAACGTAAGACAAACTTGTACTAAGGTCTCAGACATACAAATTGCGAACCTCTTTTTCTTTTTTCTTGAAGTCGGCTTAGGAATTTAATCGGAAATATCAAACCGATAATTGTGTCAAATAATAATTTAAAAGTTACTTTGATGTTTCCGAATAATTTCATTGAACTCATAATCCTCTTCCTTTATTATAAGACGGGCTAGTTTAATGAATAGTTTTAAACATCCGCTTTGTAAATGATTTATTCGATGCGGCACGCGTCGCTTTGCAGGTGGTCCCTCTAAGCGATTTCATTAATTTTATTTTGTTATCATTTTTAATTGTAATTTAATTTAGTTGCTATCGCAAATATTGTTCTAAATCTATGATTTCATATCGCATGTTAAATGGGTAGGGCGAGGAGTAAAAAGTAAGAAAGGATAAAAATCATGTTCAATTCGATAGTGGATTGGTTTCGGTAATTAAATTCAAGAAAATGAAATATTTTTTTACATCAAATAATGAAAATTAGTTGGACAATTTTGACGGCTGTAGAGAAAAAAGCTAATAAAATTCGTCAAGCATCCTAAAAATAAAATTTATTTAAAAAAAGTCAAACAGTGTTTAGACAATTAACTCTTCAATTTTATCAGCAGTGTGCTTGTAAAATTACAGTACAATGAGTGGCTTCGACGTCCCGAACATTGCCGAGGACAGCCGATATCTGCCGAGTTATTAATTGAGCATTGTGCGCACGCGTAATGGGACATGCGCACAAGCACTCTAGTGTTATCTTTATGAAGACGCAGGAACAAACTAAGCGGTCTTACTACGAGATTGAGTTAAGTGGAAATTGCATGAGTACCGTTGCTATGGTAACGGATAAACAATACATTAGTATAGAACATTTTTAAAATAGTAAATAACTTGATGACAAAACAGTTCTCAAATTTTAGGGTTCCGTACTCCAAAGGCAAAAACTAAAACCCTTACTCAACCGCTGTCCGTCCATCCGTCAGTCTGTCTGTGTGTCTGTCAGCAGGCTGTATTTAATGAACCGTAATAGCTAGACAATTGAAATTTGGATAAAGGTAGATACATCCAATCTTCTGATAACGAAGACATAATAACTAAAAGCGTGTTTTTATTTTTTAAATACAAATTTATTTTATGATTTTCTTAGTCTAAAGACTGAGTTCACATAAAGTAGCATAAGTTATATAATCATTATGTGTGTAAGTAATTCTTGGAATATGTAACGTGTGCGTGTGCGTAGGCTGTGACGTCAAGCGTGACAAGTTTGTTCCTACCGCTGCTGTTTGCGTTTGCGCACCGCTCTAGTGCAAAGATTTCTATTGGGTAATTTTTATTTTCAATAAACTGCGTTATGAAACCTACTCCAAAATTCTTATATTTTTATTTTTGAAGTCAATTATATTTATAAGGTATAGGAAATAAATAAAAAATAGGAATTTAATGTCAATAATACCACAAAGAACTTAAATTTAAAATGTAAAATATCTATTTTGTAGCATATTTATAAAAGTAAACAACATTTCTTTTTATCATAATTTCATTTCATTACAGCGTCGAACACAATATTATATTATATACTCTTAAAATTTTGCTTATCGCGCGGACTTACTTATGGCGCGGCGCCCAATTCGTATTTACATGTATTCATCGTAACGTGCCGATATTCTGCAAATAGAGTAAATAAAAAATCAATTATTTTTCTAGTATTATAAATTAGTAAGATGCAAATTTATGAGTGAGTTTGTGTATATGTTTGTTACCCAATCACATATTTTGTGTTTTATAATTTTTAATTTTTTAATACAAATTGTTTGATTAAATATCTGATCGTGTTTTTCTTTATTTCCCAGAAAAAGCTTGACATAAAAAAGTAGTATGAAGGTATCTTAAATCGAATCTAGTGTTATGTTACATTGGCTTGAACAATTTAACAAAGAAAACAAACGAATCTACCACATCCAATAGTCTACTAGATATTGTTGCCGCGGAAAAGTATCGAAACGGGCACATTCGATATTAGACTAGAATATTTTGTCATAGATAACTATCGAAATTGGCATATTCGATAAAAAAGTAACCAGCAGTAATCAAGTAAAGTATCGAATGTGTAATTTTACAAAAAGTATAATAATTATCCAAAACTATAGTAGACAGTATAAAACAGTCAAATTTTCCACTTAAGATACATCGGTAATATGAAATTTTGGAATTTTATGTTTAACAAAAATCTAAATCTAAACTTAAAATCGCTCTCCTGTAAAGTAGAGGTTTTGCAGTTTCAATACTTTACGTGGGGGCCGTCGATATGTATAAACAGCTTAAGGTACCGGGTTAATAATTGGCATAGGAGTAGTTTATGAACGGAAATAATTTATGGGCAGCTTATTATCCCATAGGACAGGTCAAGCCATTGGCAGAAGCTAGTTGAATAAGAAAGTAACCCGCTACGATTAATTGAATTAAACGATTCCATCTTTCATTTTCTGCTAGAATAAAAGTTCTTAAAAAGTATTTTATTTTTAAAAACTAGTTGAAACTACTTACGTTTTTTCTCATCACAATTATACTCGTTGAGGTCACAGAGATCAACAAACATTCTGGTTATACCCAGATTGTCCTGACCACAGATTGTTATGTAATCATGCAGGCACTGATCCGCAAACAAGCAGTAGTTTATTATCTATAGGAGAATAAAATAACAGTTTTCTGTAACATTTTCCAGCGACCAGTTTCAATAATGTGACTATCTGTAGATTTACTTAATACTATAATAAAAATTGCATGCAACCATTCTCATCATATCAAAACTTCAATGTTTAAGTAAGCAAATCTAAAAATAGATAGGTTATTTGATACTGTTAGTAAAAGCCAAAAGAGAATGACCAGATAATTACATATAGACCTTTTTTAAGGGGGGCGAATCATCGAAAAACTTTTTCCGGCTGGGTGGAACGGGAGGGAGTGTCAAACTCTTACTAACTAAAAACCACCCCGTTCCTGCACTTCGAGCTGGAGCCCCGGTAACCCGTTAAGTTCTCCGCGGCTCCGTAACGGCATCAGACCTATTGGACCCCATCTGTGGTGGTCTGATGTCTCTTTGATGCGCGCGCGGAACTACGCGTCGCACGCTTTTGGTCTGGTTCTGGTCGGACGGCGAGCTGCCCATGCTCGCCGTCCGCAGGCTTGTGCTCACGGTGGCCGGAGATCGTCCCGCGATCCCCGACGACCGGAGTGTCCTTCGCGATTACTGAGTTGTAAGGAGCGCAGCGCTTCGCTGCCTCATGCGCCCCGCCTCCTCCTTAGCTAGCATGACTGCTTCGCAAAAGAAGAAGGCGGCATCTCAGTTCTCCTCGCTCCGCATCATGACCCGGACTAGGGCCGGACGCGAGAGGTGACCGTCGCCGATCATATCCCTGAGGGCACGACAGTGCTCAACCCACACAGGGCATTCCCCTACTGTGTGTTCCACCGTGTCCTCAGGGCGGTCCTCGCAGTGATGACACCCAGGCGTTTCCTCCTGCCCTATCAGACACAGGTACCTCCCGAAGCTCCCATGTCCGGCGAGGACCTGCGTCAGGCGATAGGTGAGGACGCCGTAGCGTCTTTCAAACCACTCCTCAAAGAGGGGACTTACGGCAAGGGCAAAACGGATAAAACAACTCTTGGAATTCAAAACTATCTATGAACAAATAAGAGTGTAAATTAAAAAAGGTTATTTTTAGTGCTTAATTGGTTTTATGAAAGCTCTTGCTTAATCCTAAGCGAGAAAAATATACCACAGTCGTTTGTATTTATTAAGTAGGTATTTATAAAAATCTAGAAAGTCAGTTACCGGTTCTAATGGAAAGTAGAAATCTTCGGTTTCCATATCAACATGTGACCAGACTTCAGCAGCTAACCCAATTATTATTAGACCTAAAAGGAGGAAAATATTAATAGAAATAATGGAAATGAAATCTTAATAGGAATGCAATGAATTTTGATTGTTAAAACTTTCAATAGAGTACCATTTCGCGAAGACTAGTAGGTTTTTGATTTCCAAAATTTTCTGCCATTTTTAGGTTTGTTTGACAGTATTTAAATACTCAGGTCATGTAGTCATGCTTGTGAAATATTGGCTTAAACACAAGTTGCTCATGTCGAGCAACTTTAGGCGTTAGCGGTGTGTTCACGCGCGCCACTCGAGGAAGGAAATCGCAGCTTTTGAGGGCTGCTACGTGGTGGGACCTGCCACAATTTAGTGGTAGGTCGAGGCCTGCCTGGTGCGGTGAATCCGCAAGGGCGTCCCGGGTCACGGCCACAGGCAGAGGAGCGTGGGAAGTCCATGAGGATTTCCAACGCGTTACAAAAAAAAAAAAATGTCGAGCAACTTGTGTTTGCATTGATTTTGTGATGTCATCGCCCACCTTCTCTCATTCACTTCATTCAACTACAAGCCCTAAATGCGCCTTGAAATTAGTCAATCACCCTCAAAATAACTACTTAAAATTATCATCAAAAGAATTGATTTTTATTAGATTGCTATTTTTCTAAAACAATGATAGAACAACGAAACTTACTAGTAACAACTTTTCTTACTATCATTATGCACGATCACTTCGACGGATGAACAACAAAGGTCTAGTAGAACAATAACCAAATTTGTTTACTTTTAGTAATCAAACTATGAATATCGAACAGGAAATTATTAATATACACACAAAATATTGAAGTTTGTGTGGAATGTTTGATATTCTACAGAGGAGAACAACTTTTGGACCTGAGAAAGTGAAGACCTCTTTAAATTATTTTTTGTCTTTATAGTCCTCAGAAGAGTTATTTGTTTCCTTCTTAACACAAAACCAGGTATTTATTTTAAGGCATAATACGAATTTAAGAGAGGTACTTATTTTAAAAATCAGTAGTTACCTGTGCGGCCGTCGGTAGCGTATCTGCATTGAAGGTTATCTTTTTGGTCTGTTATAAATACCGACGTACGGTAGGAGGGTGTTCTCTCTTATCTACTCTTTGCAATATTTATAAATTCTATTTCTAACGAGCTTCTATCTATCATCATACCACGTGTATGCTGACGATCAACTTTAGAGTATTACTCTAAGTAATCTACAGATTTATCCATAGGTGACTCCTCATGAGTTCTACGAAGCCGCAAGTCATTATCATTAGATTGAGTTCAAAAATTTTACAGAATATTATTAACGGTTGCATAATACTGTACAGCGACTCTGTGATCACTGATGATAGCGGATCTGAGGAGCTTTATAGAGAAAACTTTTTTGGGGGGTACAGTTGAGAGAGGCGTTCGCAAATGTTCGAATCAACAGGATATTTGTACTAAGGAACTTTTAACCAACTCCCAATTTTGCAGTCGCTCAATCACTGATCCTCGATTATGCTAATACCAGCTACCTAGATCATACTGAACTGCTCGTAAGATAAAACTTAAAAAATCTAAAATTTCAGTGCAACGATAACGGAAATAATGAGCACGTCACCAAATATCTCAATAAACTCAAGTGGCGGCCAATCCGCCATTGCTGGAATATTCAATTTTATCTCTACTTTATGACATAAGTACTGCTGATTCTTTTCAAAAACGGTAACCCTTTTCAAGTTTCTTTTCGAAAAACATACAAAATCATTGATACTTCAGTGATCTTGAATCGAGGAATCTAAGAATGGAGATGACTCAACATTAATAAAATCTTTCAGCAAATATTTCACTGTACAAGTTGTGTGATTGTGGAATGGACTGCTAGTATCAACAAATCAAGAATCATTGTCTTTCTTCTTTATAACGTCGTCACCAGTTGGTTTTCCTTCTGAATTGTTTTCTATTGTAAGTGGTTTATTATATTATACATTTGGAGAGCCTGGACGTTTAAGACACCAGCTTCTCATGCACTAATGTGATTTTTTTCGAGTTAAGTGTACTGTCGAAGACTATTTAGACACCACTGACAAATAGTGAAGGAAAATGTCGTGAGCAAACCTGGGCCTATGATTTCTAATTATAAGTTTGAAATCACCAACCTGAACTGAGCAAGCGTGGTGATTAATACTCAAACCTTCTCCGTGTGTGAAGACGCCTTTGCTCAGCAGTAGGCTGTTGACGATGATGAACATGATATATTTGTGTAAGTGTGTATGTATGCTGTGTGGTTCTGGTCATTCACCAACTGGATGGACCAATTAAGTGACTCATCGTCCTCCGAAATCGTCCCGCGCTGGATCGGAACCGGTGGAGACAGATCATCCGCTCCAAATAACTCGGATGCTGACGATGATTCTCAGATATGAAGGATCGATAACAGTTCATTGGTGCATAGAACACAAATCAACATAACTGTCCTGTTTTTTTACACAAACCTATTTTCTGCACCAGTTACCGCTGATTTTTCCACTTGACCCTTTTTTTAAGGAGGGAAAATCATTCAATGACTTCTCCCGCCCAAGTAGGGCGAGAGGTACCTACGTTCTCTGATTGACCCTAAGGTAGAGAGTGTCATGCATTTTTTTATGTAATAGGTGACTGGCCGCCATCTCTCATGATGGTAGGCGACGATGCGGCCTACGATAGAGCACGCCGCTCATAAGTAAACTATACACTTAAGGCTTGATGACTGGTTGTACAAGTGACAAGAAAACTTGCAGGGTAACTCGTTCGGGTGGGTGGAACATTTGCCATATAACGGTCACATTTTTATATAGTAGTAAGTCTTATAAGTTTTCAATTGATTGACTGCACGGTTGGCGCGGTGGCTGGGCAACCCGCCTGCCGCGCAATGTGTCGCGGGTTCGATTCCCGCACGGAACAACTCTTTGTCTGATCCACAGGTTGTTGTTCCGGGTCTGGGTGTCATGCGTATGTACTCCTAGTTTGGGGCAACGTTATTAAAAATATAAAATAATTAGTAAAAAATATTATATTTATTTGTAAAAAAAATCCGATTTAACGAAGTAAATATTATTCCTAAGAACAAAATTATGAATTTATGCAGTATGTACCATAAATAGGGTATAATTTAAGAAAATGGAAAACACTGACACAAAGTCGGCGCGGACACAGTTGCAGCCAGAACATGGTGTTAATATTGACATGTAAAAGTGCCACTTGTTTTGTACCCTATGATTACAACAATAAACAAAATTGAATTTCTTAACACTATAATTTCATTTCACTAGTGACGAGCATAATAACAACATAATAATTTGATATTATATTATTTTGATGATTCAGTGGGAGGCTCCATTTTACATATTTCCATCTTCACATGCCGAAATTCTGCGAATAAAGAAAATAAAAAAGTATAATACAAAAAAATATAAAATAATCCTTATTAAAATAGTTTTTTATTTTTATTAATTGGCGCTTAGCCACCGTCTTGCCTCGTTGTAAGCGACGATGTGGCCGACGATGGAGGACGCCTACCAATGAGCAACCTATTTACTCAAGACTTGAAATCACTTAAAGGTTTTTGGGACTTAGATAAGCCTTTGATACAAACATTTAACAATACATGCTTTGGTTCAGACCATGGTGCAGAGCGAAGGAAAGCTGTCGACCTAGTTAAGTAGAAGGTGGATCGTGTGAGGGAACGATTCTTCTCACGCTCCAACTGCTGCAGGAGACACTCCGGGTGTCGGGGAGCACGAGACTATCTTCGGCCACCGTAATAGACAAGAGCCATAAATCACAGATGGGGCCCACAAATGTGGGTTCCCAATGAGAAGTTGGAACGGGGTAGTTTTTAGTCAGTAAGAGTGTGATACTCGCTCTCTCCTCACTTAGGGCGAGAACAGTAATTTGATGACTGGATGACTTTACCCTCAAAAAACTGAATGTCGAAGGCGTTTTGTTGGAGATAGATGTATATCGAACGCTTACCACCTTGAGCTCCCGCCGGACGGGCCTACTTCGCCACTACTTAATGCTTATAAAATTATAATTAACGATTCTATTTTATATTCTACTATAACTATTATACGTATATAATAAAAAGTACTTAAAAAGTTTTTTTATCACCAAAAAGTGCTTAAAACTACTCACGTTTTTTCTCATCGCAATTGTATTCGAATAAGTCACAATTATCATTGAACATTCTGATGACACCCATGACGTCCTGACCACAGATTGGCACAAAGTCGTGCCAGCATTTATCCGACATCGAGCAGAAATTGGTTACCTGTGGGAGAGTAAAACATTGGTTTTCTGTGACGTTCTCTAGGGACCAGCCTCAGTAATAGTCTATCTGTAGATTAACTTTTATTTACCTACTCAAATAAAATTTCGCCATTATTTCTATGAAGCACATATGAAAACTTCTATCTGTAGCTAATCTACAGATAAATAGGTTATTGAGACTGAGTGTAAATACATAGTTATATGCACCTACTCTTGTTATCATCGTTTTTATCAAATAACTTCTCCCGCATTAGGTGCGGCGAGAACTAATCTTGGACTCAATCAATATAAAAGTTAAATATGTGTAAACATAACATAACATAACATCACGCCTTTTATCCCCGAAAGGGTAGGCAGAGGTGCACATTATACCACTGTACAATGTAACACCCTCTTTTCACTATTTATGTTATGAGTCCCATGTAATAGAGGTGAGCCTATTGCCAATTCCAGACTCCGGGCTACTACTGAGAATATTTAAAAACCCAGTAATACCCGGGAATCGAACCCAAGATCCCTTGCCCGGCAGTCGCACTTACGACCACTCGGCCAAAGAGCAGTGTGTAAACATTTAATGAAAAAAATATTTAGATATGAATACTCTTGACTAATGTCGATTTTTGTCTTGGAAAATATGATGCTAAATTCTGCCAGCGGATTCGTTCGCTTCCCCGTGATATAAAAAGTAGCCTATGTGTTGTCCCAGACATTAATCTATCAATGTTCCAAAATTTCATTTTGAATCCTTCAGCCGTTAGCGTAAAGAAATAAGTAAGAAACAAATAAACAAACATACAGACAAACTTTCGCTATCTAATATTAGTGGGATATTATAGCCGTAAAAGAGCTTTAAAATTGGGGAAAAGAATTATACAAGGTGTTGTTTTAAAGCCGCGTCATTTTCTAGGAGGTAACTCGGCAATCGATTGTGTCCGAATCAATAAAAAAAATTGTAGGTAAATATTTTTCGTTTTTCTTTAAATTACGGAAATTCGTAAGTGCGAACTACACGCCGCCGTTTTGTAATTAGCTTTATAACGCGGCTTAACACAGACAAACTCAAACACGTAATTGACATTATTCCTAATTCCATAAAACTCCAATAAGAAACATTGCTGTTGCTTATTCTGTAATAATTTCGAACTTAAACGATTTACTATAGCCGTATTTTTAAGTAAAGGCCCGAAATTTTCTCTTACATTGAACATTTATGACTTCTGTGACATGCCCCCGAGAAATGTCACGGTTTTAAAACTACACCTTGTATAAAGGGCTTGTAATTTATAACAATATAAAAAAATTAAAAAGTACCGGTTCTATTGGAAAGAAGTAATCATCGGCTTCTATTTCAACGTGCGACCAGACTTCAGTAGCTAACCCAATCATCATGAAGCCTGAAAGAATAAAAATATTAACAGAAATAAAGACATAATGGGAACCAAACTAAACTTCATTAATTTCTTTTTTTATAATTTCATCATAATAAAAATATTGATTTGATATTTTAGAGAAGAGTGTAAAATAACGCGACGTCTTTTTTATTTCCAAAATTCTCCAACATTTTGTCTTATAGTAAGAAACACTTGCGAACACTATATCGGGTTAATCAGTTATGACTTAAAATTTATCGAGCACCCTCAAAATTATTATTAAAAAGTTATTATCAGAATAATATATTTTTATTAGATTGCCATATTCCTAGAACAATGATAGAACAACGAAACTTACCAGTAACAACTTTTTTAACTATCATTATGCACGATCACTTCGACGGATGAACAACAATGGTCTAGTAGAACAATAACCACATTGTTTACTTTTGGAAATTAAACTAGGATTATGGGGCAGGAAATTATTAATATACACACAAAATATTGAACCTTATGTGGAATGTTAAATATTTTACAGAGGAGGTCAACTTTTGGAAAGAATTAAAAAAGAACCGTACTAAAAGTACTAAGTTAACCGACGAGTAAAAATCCTAGCAAATAGCGGTCCATAGACTCTGCTAACCCCCATGTAAGACAGGCGTGAAATTATATATGTCAATTTTTGGATCGGAAAAAGTAAGTTTGTTCAAATTCTTTTTTGTCTTTTTCTTTACTCTTCGGATAACTTGTTTTCACTTCTTATCTCAAAACAGGGTACATTTCTTATAAATTAAATTAATCGTAATTGTAATAATTTGCAACATCCTTCTTCTTTTAGATAGATCAGAGAGTCACCTATTTTAGAAGTCAGTAAGAATAGCGATATGCGGGCACTGGTATTTCCAATTTTCCTGTACTCGGCAGAGACGTGGACAGTACGTGAATTGGAAAAGGGGAAGACAGATGCTCTAGAGATGTGGTGCTGGAGGAAGATGCTTGGTGTATCGTGGACTGAGTTCCGCACCAACGTATCCATACTCCGAGAACTCGGCATCACAAAGCGTCTATCAACCATAGTACAGACGCGCATACTGCAGTACTTTGGCTGTGTCTCCCGTCGTGATAACTCCATAGAGCGGCTGGTCGTTCAGGGGAAAGTAAAGAGAACCAGATCACAAGGCACATCACCCATGCGCTGGACTGATCAAGTCAAATCGGAAACGGGAAACCCAATGTCAGACTGCGCCAGACAGTCCACAAACAGAGAGAGATGGCGGGAGATCGTGAGGAAAGCTGTATCGGCCTTCAACACAAATACAGCCGCTCAACGTGACCACGACCGTTCTGCCAAGAGCGAAACGACAGAGAAGAAGAACAATAAAGATTCTTATTTTAAAGGTGAAAAAAGAAAAATAGGTTCTCGTTGACACGTAAATTTCATACTTAGGCCTCACACCAAACGTTTTGACCGCCACCGACTGTGAGTATGCTCACTGTCGAAAACACACTACGTAATATATATATATACGTGTGTTTAGTCGGTCCGGTGTGAACGACATTTTAAATATAACTATATGGTAAAGTGATAAACTACAGTGTTGACTGTGCATGCGTTACACAGTCGTCAGCGTCGGTTGTTGGGCTGACAATACGTTTGGTATGAACGATGCTTAGTCAGAAAGTACTGTTTACGTCCCTTTCCGCTAAAACCGAACTTTTTTACAGTGAACATTGAAAAAACTATTAGTTACGAAATGCTATTATAGTATTCATGACTTTGTAATAACAAGGATTAGTGAGTATTTTTTTTATTTTATTCTTTTGTAATTTTTAATTGAAGAAGAAGAATCCTTTTCAAGATGTCCTATAGGAATTTGTCAATTGTAAATTTAATTATTAATAAATATTAACATTGTATTCTACATTTGCACACCAGTAATGGTAAAAAATGGTGACACTATGATCACTGCTCATCTGTAAGATTTTTGTCTTTGAAGGCTGGAGCGAAAGTCTGAAACTCGCTATGGTTTTCCTTTTCATTTGATATTCTATAGTTTAGCGCCCCTGACTGTGGTAGTGTTATAAAGTTCAAAACAATTAGACGTAGTTTATTGTTATCATAATTATTGCTAAGTCGAGTACAATCTTTCGCCATACCTGTGGTATCGGAATGTGGTCTGTTATACTTGAAATAATAGTGTACTGTGAGTAATAAATGTACTAATTCTTACATCTATACTAATAGTATAAAGAGAAAAGATTGATTTTTGTTTTAAACACAAATATGATATGTGGAGGAGTCGGGCATTGGGGAGATTGGGGAAGGGGAGGGAAATTGGGCCTACGGTAACCTCACTCACACGACGAAACACAACGCAAGCGTTGCTTCACGTCGGTTTCTGTGAGGCCGTGGTATCACTCCGGTCGAGCCGGCCCATTCGTGCCGAAGCATGGCTCTCCCACACTTAAAATCTAAAATCATTATCATCATCATGAACAGCCTATAAATGCCCACTGCTGAGCCTCTCTCACATGGATTTAAGCACTAATCACTACGCTTGCTCAATGCGGGTTGGCGATTACAAGCTTATAAATAGAAATTATAAGTCCATATTTCTTCTAGTTTTCTTTCATCGTTTGTTAGTGGTGTCTAGACAATGTTAGAAAGTACATATAACTCGGAAAAAGTTACATTGGTACTTGCCGTTGGTAGGTTTCGAACCTGCACCCACATGCATAAGAAGCAGGCGTCTTAGGCCTCCGAGCCACCACGACATCATTCTTTGAACGCACAAATTCTGTAAGTGGATAGTCCATTTACTGAGGAAGGTATTTTTTTTCTGTACTGCCTCGTTAGCCGAGTGGTCGCAAGTGCGACTGCCAAGCAAGGGGTCTCGGGTTCGATTCCCGGGTTGGGCAAAGTATTACTCGGTTTTTACAAAATTCTCAGTTACTACCGAGTTACACTAGTAACACGAGTTACACGAGTAGCACTAGTGCTACTGCACGGAGTCTGGAATTGTGCCCGGTATATGGCAATAGGCTCACCTCCTATTACATGGGACTCATAGCATAAATAGTGAGAAGTGGGTGTTACATTGCAGTGGCATTAAGTGCCGTAATGTGCACCTCTGTCCACCCTTTTGGAGATAAAAAGGCGTGATGTATTGTAAGTTTAATTATAAGTATATATATTATTGGAATACTCAGCTCTTTTAATATTTAATCGGCTGTAATCGACGGTAGTGATTTCATGATTTTTTTCCCGAAAATTACCGAAGCCGCTCACAGAAACTGATTTCCTACAATAATTAAATTATTTCAAACATATTTATATGTAGTTCAACTATATATTGTGCATGACTTTGAATTTTACTTATTTTCAGAGTGTATTTTTCTTTCCAGTGATACTATTGCTGACTAATTACATTCCATCAGTTACCTGCCACATTCCTAGCTACGTCACCACTCCAGCGGTAAGAATCCATTATGGCGAAACCTTCATTTTACACAAGACAATTATAACCATTGATCAGTAAATAAAATAAATACTGAATATATACAACTTAAGATAAAAATATAAATAAAAGAAAACTAAAAATGACTATTTAATCAAAGCATCTAAAAATTCGTCCGCATCGACGTCAGTAGGGAAAGTACCCAGAAGGCTGGCACCATTGCCACGTTGTATGGCAATGCTTAACCTCTGACCGAGAAAAAGACCTGTTCTCTGGTCACAAGATGCGTCGACCAGGCGTTTCGAAATGTTTTTCAATAATTTATGGGCACTCGGACCCCACGAACCTAACGTCTCAACCCCAAACGGCTCAAAGATATAACTACCAGCAAAGTTGCATACTACTAATAGTTGTATAGACTGTACATTTATTATAATTTTATACAATATGTTTCTAAGTGTGGGAGAGCCTGGGCTCGCTGCCATTGCAGCGGTAAGTCCCCTCTTTGAGGAGTGGCTTGAGAGACGCTACAGCGTCCTCACCTACCGTCTGACGCAGGTCCTCATCGGATATGGTAGTTTCGGGAGGTACTTGTGTCTGATAGGGCGGGAGGAAACGCCCGGGTGTCATCACTGCGAGGACCGCCCTGAGGACACGGTGGAATACACTGTAGCGGAATGCCCTGCGTGGGCTGAGCACCGCCGTGCCCTCAGGGAAGTGATCTGCGATAGCGACCTCTCGGTACCGAGCCTAGTGCAGGTCATGATGAGCGAGGGAGACTGGAATGCCGTGTCCTCCTTTTGCGAAGCAGTTATGCTAGCTAAGGAGGCATTCCGCTCGCGCTTCAAAGAGCCATCAGACCACCACGGATGGGGACCAACAGGGCTGATGCCGATTCGGAATCACGGAGAACCTAACGGGTTACCAGGGCTCTGGCTCGAAGTGCAGGAGTAGGAACGGGGTGGTTTTTAGTCAGTAAGAGTTTGACACTAAGGCGAGAGCAGTCATTCGATGGTTTTCAAAAAGAGTAAGTATGGGAGAGCCGTACGACCACGAATGGGCCGGCTCAAACGGAATGATACCACGGCCTCTAAGGAATTGTAGGCCTCTGGCGTTCTAGTGTGTCCACTGTCCATGGGCGACGTCGATTGCTTCGCCGAACCGTCTGCTCGTTTAATATATCCCATAAAAATAAAAATTATTATTCTTGTTATTTTATTAATTTATTTCAGTTTTCATTGTTCTTTCTTATTTTCCACAGAATAAAAATGATCAATTCTGTCAGCTATCAGAAAATTGCATGCACGATACGATACGGGTATGCGGCAGAATGGGAGAGAAGAAGAGAACTTTTCTAGACATGTGTGACCTCCTGGAGTTTGCTTGTGATACCAATCAGAGTGAGTATATTGTTTCAACAATAACCGAGATTTTTGTAAAACCTATCGTGAGACATACATTACATAATATAACATAACATCCCGCCTTTTATCCCCGAAAAAGTAGGTACAGGTGTACATTATGGCACTTAAAGCCACTGCACAATGTAACACCTACTTTTCACTATTTATGTTATGAGTCCCATATAATACGGGGTGAGCCTAATGTCATGTACCGGGCACATTTCGAGACTCCGTGCTACTACTGAGATTTAAAAAAAAAACAGTAATACTTTGCTCGACCCTGAAATCGAACCCGAGACCCCTTGCCGCCCAGTCGCACTTGCGACCATTCGGCCAATGAGGCAGTCTGCGTCATTTTTATAAAATCTATCGAGAGACATAATTATTGAATTTAAAAAAATAACTCACGTAAAACAATACGTAACCTATTGAATATTTTTTGACGTAAGTACCTGAGAAATAAGAAATGTATGTCTAACTATGTAAACCTCGACGTCATGAATTGATCTGTATACTTAATTTTGTCGTAGAATCAAAATTGGCCGAAATATATGCGTCTAAAGTTTTGATGACTTGCAGATTTCATTTAAATTTACGTTGTACTGTGACGTAATGTCGCGGAGAACCTAACGGGTAACCGGGGCTCCGGCTCGACGTGCAGGAGAAGGAACGGGGTGGTTTTTAGTCAGTAAGAGTCTGACACTCCCTCCCGCCTCACCCAGGTGGGAGCAGTCATTCGATGATTTTCCCCCCTTAAAAAAAAACTGTGACGTAATAGCATAACGTCCAATAAATTGTATATTTTAAAACAAAGTTAAAGATAGTAGGTAGGTACCTAATAGTAATTATTTGTTCAGCAATTTGAGTTATACATGCGTAGAATAGAATAGAATAGAATAGAATATAACTTTATTGTACACCATTAATAATATAGTACATACAGAAAAGGAAATGACAAACATAAAGAAAAATAATAATGGGCACAAAGGCGGTCTTATCACTTATAGTGATTTCTACCAGACAACCTTTGGGTGGATATAGTGAAAAGAAATATTTAGGCGGGTTGTGTACTAAGAAAATAAATAAAGTAGTAATAATGCATACATTCATACACATACATATAAACATGCATACATACAAACATACATATATACGGGTTGCGTAGGTATTGTATGTGAACAAAATGGAAATTAATATATTTATTTGTTTGTTTTTGGGTAGTTCCTTAAGTATACATTACAGTAGCATTTTCCAGTATGTTTAATTGAGTTCAGACGATATATTTTTCAGTTTACGTTCACATCGAAGATGAGGAAGGATGTCCAGAACCAGCAGTACCCCCTCCTGGAGGAATATATTAATCTGAAAAAGCAAACATTAAAGTAAATAACTGCTTAATTTATTGTAACTTGTTTTGTTTGACATAAGAACAGGTTAGTCATTCAATAACATTATTGCTCACAGCACACGGTGAATTTTATACGCGCAGGCAACACGCGTATATGCGCGTCACTGTCGTGGTATAAAAAAAATTGCATTTTTTTAATGCCTGATAGGTTGATGTTTGTCACCATCTTGCCTGGTAGTATCTTCTTATTAATATACTAAGCTACTTGGAGTTGGCACAAGTAAGACGAATGTTTCACGATCGCACCATGTATTTAGGTTACAAGATTGCGTTCCAGACTCTTAAAGAATAAAAATACGCAGTGTGCTATAGGCCTTAGTGTTTTAGAGGTTCAAACCTACAAGAAAATACTGGCCTCTTTTCTAAAAGTCCAGACCGGTACCCATGGTAACTGATCCAACACTGATTGTTCGTCCTGTTTAATCATTCTCCTCCTATACTAAAAAACACGTAATATTTGGAAGACTCTGCTCTTATTTAATACAAAGGACTTCGAAAATCTAGAAACCTTTCTATTCAGCAATAAAAGAAGTAATCTACCAGCTATATCACATGATATCATGATATATCACATGATATTTCGTTCTATTTTCGCTGATTTCTCAATTTAGAGGTATATATGATGGGACGACGTTTGACCACTATCTCGCCTGGTGGTAAGCGACGATGCGGTCTACGATGGAGCACATCGTCCCATAAGCAACCTATTCACTCGGGCCTTGAAGACAAGCAGGTTCAGGAAATACAGACTCTGGCAAAGAATTTCACTCCCTTAGAATTAAATATAAACAAAGCTTGATGCGAAGCGCTTCGCATATAGTTGGCGAGTGGAGACAGCAATATGGCATCCAGCCCGCTTTAATCTACATATAATTATATTTCATTTTGTGTAACAAAGTTTAAACAAAAATACATTGAACCACTATTCAACCTCTTATAATGGTCATCATCATCAGTTACACACATAAACTTCTATCACAGTAATAAACCCTGCAATCTCAATAAAATGCAGAATTACAGCACAAATTATAAAATACCAGACTACACACTCAGACATACAACTTTTTAAGATAAAAAGAATTTTTACTTAAATATGTGTTTAAGTATCATTACTGTAATGTGCTTCGGCCTGACCTGAGATCGTTAGAGCGAGAAAAATGTATTAAAGGTTAGGTATGTACGACAGAGAGGTGTATACTCGAAGGTTGACCGGGTAACAGGTTGGAGCAGACAGAATAAGTATAGCGAATGCAGTAAGGTACGGGCGCATCGGCCCAGGCGCATCTTAGATACGATGGAACGAAAATAAATGGCGGGTTAAACATATTTGCAATTTTATTTTAATGTGTAATAACAATAATGAAAGTTTAGTTAATGAGATGACGGTTAGACATTGTAGACTGTTTACAGTATTTTATTTAGGTATGTATATTACTGAATATCATTTTACGCGTTGATTGATTGATATATTATAATCAATAATTTTTATTCATCACACAATTCTATTACAATGAAATTGAACAATAAACATAATTATGTATTTCTTTAGAAAATAAAAATATGGGAAAAACATTACTTAATAATATACATATAACAAAATTCATAAAACTTTAGTTTTTGACATACATCATTCGGAAATAAGACGCTTTATACCGAAAACCTAATTCAAATCTCAATTAATATAAATAACTTCCTTTGTATCATTTCTATAATTATAATCCAATAAAAAAGTAATAGCACATTTAATGTTAATTTAAAAAAATAGTATAATTCAAGTGGAAGTTAAGGTTTACAGTGTAACCGGTCCAAACAGCCCGTGAGAAAGCTACAATTTGAACAAGCCATAATTAGCGACCGGGGTATTAAATCACGGGCACTGGATGCCCCTCCCCCCCTCCCCAACCCGGCTGCGCGGGCGCCGGCCCGTTCGCAACGATTCCATCGATTAGACCGATTTAAGGTCAAGTTGGGAACAGGTGGAATTGAAGGGTCAAGGACATTTGGATGGACATAAATTATACGTTTCCGTGATCTAGATAAAATGGTAGATGTAAAGGGTAATGTACGAATTCAAAGGGGGTTTTTGCCTAATTATAAGTTTGGAGATTGGATGAACCTTGCGGGTGGGTGAATGAGCACAATATTGAGTTCCATTCCCTTATTTTTAATAAAAGCATGATTCTAAACTAAGATTTTCTCCAGTGTCATAAGTGAATTTGCAATTTAATATTATCATATCTTCTGATTCACTTCGTTGCGGGAACCAAGACAGTTACTCATGTCCCTGGGACGCGCCGGACTTTAGTGTTCCAGTGTTTTCATGGTTGTATCTACTGTAGATCCTGGCTTACAGGTGTTGCAGCGGTATTCGAAGGTTGTGGCGGGCTTGTCCCTTAAAAAAAAGTGAATTTGCAAACATATATGGGTACCTACAAATTCTGCTTAACTTTATGAGGTAAATACTTTTCAACAATCGGAGTCAAAATAAAAGAGACTCCTATAGTCCTATCTTCTCAACACAAGAATCATACCAAAACCACGATAAAAATAGAAAGACATACAGATACAATTTCGTATTTACAACATTAGATAGTAAGGAAAATAGGATGCTAGGATAGGAAATACTAGGATAAGATTAATAATAGGAAAATACTAAGATAATAGGGTAGGTGACTAATTTTTTTTATTAATGTTCGTCTGGTAGATTATTTTAAAACTTTACACACTTATTTTTTATTTTATTACAGAAACGAATACTTTCGACGATGTATTGATTTAAAATGTCGCGTGACGTCACTTCTATGTACATTTTATACGTAGAAATGAAGTTTTAGCCCCCACTCCTAAAATTTGATTCGTTATATCTAAGTATCAGTTTATTATACAACAAAGTAAAAAATACGTGTCGAATATTTTTTCATTACCTACCTAACTGACGGACTAATCAGATTTTTAATTTTCATACCCTTTCATCATCCCTATTAAGTAAGGTCACTGGATACCTTTCAAAACTTTAACAATGAACCCGCTTAGAAATCATTGTTCCAAATTGTATCTATGTCCTTCGAACAATGACGAGTATAATACACATATATATGTAGGTACTATTCAATCACATTTCTTATAAAGTAAAATTTGGTGACGGCACGGTATTAAAATAAATAACATCACGCCTTTTGTCCACGAAGAGGTAGGCAGAGGTGCACATTATGCCACTGTACAATGTAACACCCACTTTTCACCATTTATTTTATTAGTCCCATGTAATAGGAGGTGAATAATTAAAATAAATTTATTTTCTTTATCACCACTCTTACTCTAGTCGCGGATGTGAGGCCAACTAGGGGGCTGCATATGTATACATGTAACTGAGATCGCACTCTGACAACATTGATACTTTTAATTTGATAAATAGGATCCAAATCTTATAAAGCACACCCATATAAGTGAAATCTATTTCGTTTTCGTTTTGCGGCAAAACGACTTGCCATAGGGAGTAGGTACTTTCGATGTATAAAGTAATATGTAACTTTATTGTAGTATAAAAATATTTTCATGGATTTTTTCTACGTAAATTTGTAGGCACTATTCGCATCGCAAGTGACAACCGACGAGATTTTTTTTAGTTTTGATAATGTACTATGAGTTCGTACGCGCTTTCAAAGTTTGGTTTTGCAATGGTTCATCCGTTTTCTTTTTGTTTTAAACATTTTATTTATTTTTAAAACTATTGTATAACCAAGACAGAACCACTTTTAATTAGAGACGCAAATTAAATAGATTTCACGGTGTATAGTCAATCAAGAAAGCCATATCTAGTAATCGAAAGAAACTGTACTTTACTTTTTTTTATAGTATAAGCCGGTAAACGAGCAGACGGATCACCTGATGGTAAGCAATCGGCGCCGCCCATGGACACTCGAATCACCAAGGCGTTACAAGTGCGTTACCGGCCTTTTGGGAATTGGGAATTTGAGGATTGTGGAGGATTCGGAGATTCGGGAGACGGGGACTAGGGAGGGAGGTAATTGGGCCTCCGGTAACCTCACTCACACGACAAAACACAACGCAAGCGTTGTTTCACGTCGGTTTTCTGTGAGGCCGTGGTATCACTCCGGTCGAGCCGGCCCATTCGTGCCGAAGCATGGCTCTCCCACACTTAGATTTATATATTTACTTTCTTCATGGCATTTTATTCGTATTTTTTTAACAACGAGCAGTTGGATCACCTGTCAGTGCCTACCCTGAACTTTATATGGCACGCTAAGAGACTTTTGCAGCCGTGGGATAGCAGTTACAGGCTGACACATAAATTTAACATAATTATAATAATGAAAATGTGTTTTCACGGTAACATACCGATTTCCCAACCAGCTCGGTCAGGTCGGAAGGTGTGAAGGTGGCTATTGCTTTTGTTTGCGGAGTGCAGGTAAACAGGACGGACGCACCGGCCGACAATCGCGCCATCTGCTGACCACGCCCAGCGACCCCGCGACCGACCGTAGGGCTGTCACGTACTGACCGTGGTGATGGACATAATGTAAATATACGAGCGAAACAAATATCTATCTCAATACAAAGTCTGTGAATTACGAATTACTTTTTATAAAAACTCCATACAACTAATGACAAAAATCGATCAATATCCATATATATAATGATATTTTGTATTGAATTTGGTAATGTTTTTATGTGAAAAGAATTAATTTTTGACTCATGTACTGACTGATTGTAAATTTAATTAATATATACAATTCGGCTGAGACATACAAAATGTTTGAATGTCCAATAGGTAAAACAAAGACATATGTAACTTAAATACATTCCCGAAACAACAATTTGTGGATCACACAAAGTGTTGTTCCGTGCGGGAATCGAACCCGCGACACGTTGCACGGCAGCCGGTTGCCCAGCCACCGCACCAACCGTGCAGTCAACCATTGTTCAGCAAAT